AAATTAATAATAATAAAAAATATAAAGAAAACAAACTGATATACAAATGTCCTAAATATATGAATGCTTCAGAATAGATACATTGGGATAATAGTAATAAAAGGAGTACACACACGGCACTGAATATATACACTTAGCCATTGTTCTAAGGACTTGAGATGTATTAATGTTATCCACACATAGAAAATTAAATGTATAGTGTTTATATTTACTAAATTTGAGAGAGAAATTGAATGTCAGGAATATTTCTCAATCACTGGCAACATTTAAACCTTTTCATAGTGTAATACAGGTAAAAGAGATATCTATGTTGCTATCTAATGTGAGTTCACAACTCATTGCTGTTAAGTCAGTTGGCTCTCCAGTGGGCCTCTGAGGCCTACAGAAGAGGAGAGTCAGGCCTTTGGTTAGCAGTGCAGCTTCATAAGGACTGTATCATTATATTTCCCTAGAGAGGGGGGTGGGAAAAGGCAAAGAGAGAAAGAATAAAAGTAATGAGGTTAAAGGGAGGGAAAAACAATGGAAATAAGCTAGAGAAGAAGGGATCGTTTTCATCTTTGTTAAGACTTTAAAAAGCAAATAAAACCTTTTTGTGAATAAAATAGCATGATTTCTAATTAACAGGTCACAGATAGCATGGAATACTTTATTGACGTGGAACTTGCTCTCAGCACCTGCAAAAAACCTTTAAATAACAATGAAAACTGTATCCCACAAGAAAATTACAAGCCAGGAAAGGTAGGTGATAAGCTAATATGTTTCAGAAGTTTTACTGTTCCCAGAAAAAGAAACTTGACATCCTCAGATCTTTTGGAAAGTCAATTTTAAGACTTTTAAGGCAGACAAGGTGAGGACAAGCAAGGTGGTTGAAAGTTCCAATCCTTCTCCCACTCTTTGTCCTAGGGATAGGATACAGTCAGGTCTCTGTCAAACATCCTATTAGTGCTGGTCTTTTCTACAGAAGGCTTTGCTCTGACTGGTGCACCGAGCACCTTTCCTTTTGGACCTGAACTTGGGCATATTAGCCCTGTGGTTGTTCATCACTGGGAAAGCACAAAACGAAGTGTTTTCACACTCATCAGTTCATAAAAACTTACAAACTCTACTTGTGCTAATCCCTATCCCCAGTTCTGAAAGCTTAGCAGTGACTGTACCCACAATTCCCCGTGCTTTGGGGTATCATGTGAATCTTCCTGGGCTCAGCCAGGGTTTCCAAATAAGGACATAGCCCAAAGAATCTTTCTAAGAGTTGACTAGGCCCAGGCACGTTTAGTTTCAAGCTTGTATCTCCTGGTCACAGAAAGAGAGGGAGAAGCCCAGCTTATTCAATTCTACAGTTTCTTAGTCCAAGATAGAAGAGGGACCAGGCTTCTACAGGTCTGTACATCGAGGAACTTTCGATAATCATTTGTCCTTTCTTTTGACTGGTTGCCCTCCAAATTACAAAGGTATTAGAGAATCACTTGAAGGTTTTGACAAACCCCATAGGGCTGAGTTTCACAGAGTTTCTGGTTTAGTAGATCTGAATTAGGTCCAAGAATTTGAAACTTTTGACTGTGTCTTCTAGTCGCTGCTGGCTTGAGGACTATACTTGGAGAAGTGATCTATAAATTGCAAGCTATAATTAACAGAATTGTTGTTGTGTACCATCAAGTCAGAAGTGACTGATAGTTGAGTCCCTGGCAGGTTTTCAGAAACAATTAATTGCACGAGAGGAGATTGCCCATCCTCCTTTCATGGATTCGAACTGGGTGCCTTCAGGGCTGCACTGTAGCTTCTTACCACTAGGCTACCAGAGCTCCAATTAACAAAGTACATGCACATTATATTAGATTAAAATTGCTTCATTATGAGTGGAGTGGTGGGAATGAATGTGTTTGAGACAGCAAGGTTGGCACAGGATAGAACGGCATTTAGGACAGTTTAACCATCTCTTTGCTGATCTGGATGCCTTTTATTTTCTTCTCTTGTATTGTCTTGGCAAGCATTTTCAGTACAATATTGAAAAGAGTTGGTGACAGTGGGCATCCTTGTCAATTCCTAAGATCATATGTTTCTTGTTAATTACTTTGTAAATATAGTGAATTACATAGATTGTTTTTCTTATGTTGAACCATCCTTGCATACCTGTTATGAATCCCACTTGGTCATGGTGAATTATATTTTTTTTTGATAGTAACAAAGTTTATTTCAAAAATTTTGAGTTATATTCTTTTGCAGAGAACAGAAAAACAGCTCAGCCTCAAGGCCAACAATATGCTTGTTTTGATATCCCCGCCACCTGCAAGATTGCTTCCAATTAGCAAGAAAGGCCATCAGAACAGAGTCTTTAGGGAGGGCCATACCATTCTGCACATCTCTGCTTGGCCTTGGGGTTCAAGGAACGGTTAAACTTGTTTGTGCGGGGAGAAGGGTGCAACAATGAATGAATGGAATCCCAAAATCTTTGTGGATGTTCATTGAAATGAAAAATAAACAACCTAAATTAAAAAAAAAAAGTGAGCCCTACTGCAGCCATTTTAATTAAGCAAGTAGCCATTTCATGCCAGGTTCAAATGTGCAGATGTTTGGAAAGGAATTATATTTTTTTTAAATGTGATTTTCAATTCTATTGGATAGGATTTTGTTAAGGATTTTTACATCTATATTCATGAGAGATATTGGGCTGTATGTAGTTTTCTTTCTTGGTAATATCTTTGCCTGATTTTGGTATTAGGGTTATGCTTGCTTCGTAGAATAACTCTGAAAGTGTTCCTTCTTTTTCAATTTTTTAAAAAATAATTTAAGTAAAATGGATGCTAAATCCTCTCTGAATGTTTGGTAGAATTCAGTTGTGAAGGCATCTGGTCCAGGACTTTTCTTATGAGGAAATCTTTTTATGACCCTTAAAATTTCTTCTCTTGTGATTGGTCTGTTCAAGTGATCTATATCTGTTCTTGTCAAACTAGGCAGGGGATGCATTTCAAAGAATTTGTCTATTTCCTATAGGTTTTTAAATTTATCAGAGAATAGCTTTTTGTAGTATTCTGATATTATCAATTTAATTTCCTCTGCTTCTGATGTGATGTCACTTCTGTAATTCCTTAATCCAGTTATGTGTCTTTTCTTTTGTTAAATTTGCCAGTGGTTTGTCAATTTTTTTGAGCTTTTAAAAAAAACCAGCTTTTATTGATGATTTCAACTCTTTTTCTGTTTTCTATCTCATTGATTTCAGCTCTTGTCCGTATAATTTCTTTTCTTTTAGAGGTTGTAGGATTAGATTGTTGAACTTTTTCTATTTGCTGAAGGTGTTGAGCTAGATAATTGTTATGAACTCCCCCCTGAGAACTGCCTTAGCTGTGTTCCAGAGGTTTTGGTAAGTTGTATTTTCACTATCATTTGTTTCAAGGAACTCTTTTTATTTCATTCTTTGTTTCTTTTATAAGCCAATCATGGACTAGCAACTACATGCGTAGTTTTGTAAGCTTTATTCATCTGTGGTTAATTTCTAGTTTTATGGCATTGTGATCTGAGAAAATACTTTGTATTATTTCAGTATTTTTTAATTTTTGGAGGCTTGCTTTGTTGTGTCCTAATATATGATCGATTCTGGAGAATGTACCATGTGCAGTTAAGAAGAAAGTGAAATAAATTTTAGATGAGTGCAATACTCTGAACACATCCACAGGTTTGAGATGGCTAATTGTATAGTTTAGATCTTCTGCATCTTTGTTGTGTTTCTTTTGAGTTGACCTATCTTTTGGTGATAGTGGTGTGTTGAAATCTTCTACCAGTGTTGTGGTGCTATTTCTCTCTTTAATTCAGTTAACTATTGTTTTATGTATTTTGCAGGTCTATCATTTAGTGTATAAATGTTGACCAAGGTTATGTCTTCTTGATCTATTGTGCCTTTAATTAGTATGCAATGCTCTTTCTTATGGTCGATGGTAATTTCCATCCTGAAATCTATTTTCTCAGAGATTAGTATTGGAACTTCTGCTTTTTTGAAGTTGCCATTTGCTTGGTATATGTTTTTCCAGCCTTTGATTCTGAGTCTGTCTTTCTCTTCCCTTTCTAGATGTGTCTCTTGTAGGCAACATATTGATAGCTCTATATTTTTATTCATTCTGCTACTCTTTTTCTCTTAACTGGTGCATTTAGTCCATTCACATTAAATGTGATTATTGGTCAGGACAAGATTTACTTTTGCCATTTTGCTGTGTTTTCTTTTTCTCTTGTTTCTGGATACTATGCTCCATTTGCTTTCCTTTGGCCTCTCTGTTTTAGGATTTCACTTAAAATTTCTTGTAGTTTTGATCTTGTTTTTACTAATTCCTTAAGGTCCTTCTATTCTGCATAGAATAGACTTTTTCCTTCATATTTGATAGAGCACTTTGCTGGGTATAGGATCTTCGGCTGGCCATTGCTATCTTTCAATTTTCTTTATACGGCATCCCATTGCCTTTTAGCCCTCATGATTTCTGTTGAGAAATCAGAACTTAATTTAATTGTTTTCCCCTTTTTAGGTAACTCTTTGTTTTTCTAGTATAGTTTTTAGAATTCTATTCTTAATTTTTAAATTGGAGAATTTGACTATGATATATCTTGGTGTATTTCTTTTTTGGGTCTAGTCTGTGCTGCTTGAATGTGGATTTCCCTATTCTTCAAAATACCTGAGAAGTTTTCTTATATTACTTCTTCCACAATCTTCTCAGTGATTTCCCTGTCAATCCCATGTTCTGAAATTCCAATAATACTTATGTTATTCTGTTTGATGTCATTCCACAAAATTCTAATGTTTTATTCATTTTATGTCACATCTCTGATTTTTCTTCAAGTATGTTTCTAGTGAGGCTCTGGTCTTCCAGCTCACTGACTCTCTGTTCCATCTCTTCAGTTCTACTTTTTTGTACTACCAGCATGTTGAACACTTTTGCCGTTTCATTCTTAATATTCTGGATTGCATTTTCAACCTTTTCTGTTATTTTCAGTGCTGTGTTGGCTGTACTATCTCTGTCTTGTGATTATTTTTAAATATCTTTGTACCTCTTTGTCTATTGCATAGGCAATGAAACACAGTCAATGAAATACATTCCTCTGGTATTCCCTGCTTTCAGCTAAGATCCATCTAACATTAGCTACAATATCCCTAGTACCATGACCCCTTCTAAACCCAGCCTGGACTTCTGGCAGTTCTCTGCTGATATGCTGTTTCCAGTTGTTTTGGATAATCTTCAGTAGAATCTTGCTTGCATGTGAAATCAATGATATTGTTCTGTAGTTTCCGCACTCTGTTGGGTCACTCTTCTTGAAATGGGAACAAATATAGATCACTTCCTGTCAGTTGGCCAAGTGGTTGTTCTCCAGATTTCTTGGCACAACTTGGTGAGCACATCCAGGGCAGCATCTGCTAGCTGAAATATGTCAATTTGTATGCCATCTATTCCTGGGGGCTTATTTTTTGCTATTTCCTTCAAAGCGGCCTGAACTTCTTCCTTCATCACCATAGGCTCTTGCTCATATTTTGTTTCATTAAATTCTTCTGTGTCTGCCAATTACTTTTGCTACAGTGACTCAGTAAATTCTCTCCATCTTCTTTTAATACTTCCTGGATCATTTAATATTCTGTCTAAAGCATCCTTGATTATTCTTCAGTTCCTTAAACTTAAGAAATGCTGAACGAGTTCAGCCCTTTTAATTTTCTGACTCCAGGTCCTTGTTCATTTCATTGTAATATTTTACTTTGTCTTCTTGCACTGACTTTTGAAATCATTTATTCAATTCTTTTTTAAAGTTTTGTGTTTGTTTATTTGTTTGTGTGTGTACCATCAAATCTGATCTGACTGGTACAGGAAGAGATTGCCTCTTCTTCTCCAGCAGAGCATCTGGTGGATTCGAACTGCATACCTCTGGGATTGCAGTGCAGCTTCTTGCCACTAGGCCACCAGAGCTCTATTCAACTCATTAGTATCTTGAATTCTTCCTTCTGCTTTGGCTTCTGTGTACTCCAGTGCAATTTTCAGGGT